GAAAGAAAATCTTTACTGTGAGAAGCACTGGAACACGTTGCTCAGGGAAGTTGTGAACACTCCGCCCCTAGAGGTGTTTGAGGCCAGGTTGGATGTGGCTCTGAGCAGCCTGGTCTAGAGAATGGTATTTGTGACCATGACAGTGGCATTGGAACTAGACGATTCCTAAGGTCCCTTCCAACCCAAACCATTCTATGATTTTATGAAGTTCAGCACAAAGAACAAAACCCAAAAGAAGAATACATTATGACTAGACGGTGAACTGGCTGGGCAGCAGCTTTGCAGTAGGGATTCTGGACCTTTGAGTGGGACTAGGACTCGTAAGGAAAGGGTTATGACTTTTGCAGTACGTGCCTAAGCGCTCTGTGGTGAAACTTGTTACAGAAAACTTCACCGCTGTTGCTGCACAAACCGCAAAAAGGGACAAAGTTTCAGTTCTGGCCTTGCGGGGGCAAGACCAAGAGGGATATTTTCATGGTAACATTCCAGTGCAGTATGTTATATAACAAGTGAACAATAGGATTCTTGATTTTGGGGATACTTGCTTTGTAGGACCCCCAGAGCAGAACCCCAATGGCCACCGAATTAAGACCTGAGGACGTGCAATAGAGAAACCACTCCTACCTTCACTTACCATGCTAATGAAGGACTGAAAGCCACTCCTACCCTCATCTCCCTTGCTAATGAGGGACTGTATAAACGTAACTCAGGCTGAGACCCCACCACCACAAAGAAGCCCGGGGCACTGAAGCAGCAACAGGATCCACAGTGGTGACCATCTTCTGCTTACACTTATCTCCGTCCTTCTCTCTCTTCCCTATACACTGAATGTTACCAAATAAAGTCAGTATTGTTGAACGGGCATTTGGTATCATTTGTACCTTACTTTGGAGAGAGGACTTTAACATCAAATCATAACAGGACCTGAACACAACCCTGTTTGGCCAAACTGCAGAGAAAAAGGTGACTGTAATGAGACAAGTAAACATTTTTCCTGTTTACTTGGTAGTCCTAAAAAAGTAGCTTAATCTGAAACACTGTATAAATTGTGGGCAGAGCACTTCAAGAAAAGCAGAGAAAATCAAGTAACTGATGATACACTAGAAACCATAAAACATAAAGTAAAACTGAAAGAATAAGAGGAGACAGGAGAAAATAAGAAAATTCAAACACAATAAAAAGCTGCCACAAAGAGGAACATCATAAACTGGATTCAAAGACTGCTGGGAACAGTATAGGAAATAGTTGGCCTAAACTGTTGCGAGAATGTTTTTCTTAAAGGTTATGAAAATGTTCTACTGCTAAGAAGAATGAAGCATTGGAACAGATTGTTTAGGGAGACTGTACAGTGCCTATCATGGCAGCATTGAAAGATCCAGTAAACATGCCAGACCTGGTTCAGGTATAGCTGTAACTTGAGTCAAGGATGGACTACAGAACTGCTCAAGGACCCACCTAGCCCCCTGTTTATCTACTGCAGGTATTCATCTGTTGCATCTACTGTTTCATGACACAAACAGACAGTCCAGAGCCCACAGGAATACTTTGAAAGAGGAAGACAAATCAAACCACACCAGTCTGACATATAACAGCCCCGCAGGATAGCTAAGTAAAAAAAAAAAAAAAGAAAAAAAAAAAGAGACAGAGATTTATTGGCTATGCTTTCTCAATCACTCTTCTTTTGAGTCATCTCTCAGAGAACAAGACAAACATACTGTCTGATCATCAGCCATTAAAAAAAAAAATATCAAAAACTACTGCCAAGGCTCTCAAGCAACACATAGGTTATGGAGATTCCAATAAGCTGATCTGAGACACTGCTGCCAAAGTGGGAGACTGTCAGCGTGCTCCACTACCTTTGTATGTAGGATGGGAAGCTTTGACATCCAAAGCAAATTTCAGCTGGGGTGATATGCTACAGACAAATATCTCACATTTCAGAGCTACCCAGATTGCATGAAGCAATTAGATGCTGAAGCCCCAGGCGATGAAGTGTATATTGAGTGTCTATTGTATACAAAATTGTGTTTAAATGGGATTAGCCAAAAATCCTAGCAGATTTAAAAACTGATGTAATAAGATAGGTCTGTGCTTCAATGCCAGGCAAGCATAAGGACATCTCTGCTAGCCAACTATCCAGATCTTTATTCACGTATGTGCGTGAAACAGTCCAGCAGATGAGAAGCACCAGGGATTAACAACAGGGGGCAGAACCCCTTGAACTCCTAGCCTGCCCATGGTAAAAAATCAGAACAAGCCTGCTGGTTTTTAATGAGGGTAACTGTAGGACTTTCAGGAAGTTCCCATTGCTGAGAGGCAGGCTAGAAGGATATACAGGCATTTAGTATCACGAACAAATAAAAGAGGGATTTTGCAATACTATTGTGACTAACAGGCCACGTCAAAATTCTTATGATTCAGTATTAAAGGAAGATGTGAGCTACAAATGTCTCAAGCTGGACACCCCCAAAGGCATCAGAGGTCAAAGAAATTGAAGATAAACATCTAACCAAGAGAAGGGCACTTTGTGGCAGCAATGCCACTCATTGCAGAACACTCCTCAGGGCCCAGCAGAGATTGAACTGATAGGATAAAGGATGATGGTTTCTATTCCCATAAAACATAATTTTCTACAGCTCAAAAGAGAAAAGGCAAGCACGACAAAGAACATCAAACGAGGCATGTGGTCATAAGCAAGGAACCTGTGACTGAAGGCCTCTGGACACGAATTCACAGTTCTTGCTATCAATCAAAAAAACTAGAGGGAAATGCATCATCTTCAGTAAACTACAGGTCATTGGAAATAGACTAGAGAGGAACTTCAAATAATCATTAAGTAGTAAGTAGCAAACTACTTGATGGAAAAGCACCAGGACTTACTAATCTTCTCATGTGTTGCAGAGGACTTAAAAAACAAGATAAGCCAAGAAATAAGGAGGGCAGGACAAGACAAAAGACTACAGAGTCAAATTAAGACCTCTGTCACAGCAACAGCAACAAACAAGGAATGGGAAACCAGGCTGACAGGTGGTTGGTGGGCTGCAATGATCTGACGGGAAGAGTCTTGGCCCTATGGACAGGCCAGAGGTACCTCAGCGCTGGCCCACAACTGTCATTAGCACAAAGGGCTGAAGACCATAAATTGCTACAAAGAAACATCTAGAAGCTGCACAGAAGAATCCAAGTTTGGAGAAAGGACCATGGAAGCCTTTCTGCACGCAATAAAACAAGTCTTCTAAGGAAGCACGCAAACAAAATAAACCCACCCTGTGTCAGAAATGTGGAAACAAAAGCCCACATGGAATCTGGCCACTTTAACACTAAATTTGGACAGATAGAGAACCGAGATTACAACTTGGCAATTACTAAAACTGTTGCAAAGTTTATAAGAAAATTAGATTTAAAAAAAATTCATACAACTATAGTTTCTCATATTCCAGTTTGCGCCTGTCATACCAAGTATTTATTCATGTTAATATTTTTAACATTAGGATGTTTCCCTGGACAAGCCAAAGGCTGGAGTCAGAGTTTACTGCTTGACCATACACAAGTGTGGTCAAGCAGACTGTTCATACCTTCTTTTTGATTAGATTAACTGTTACTATTGAGCTGTTGTAGATTTAAAACTGCTTTTAAAAATGTGATAATATTTGACTTGTTGGTGAACATGCATGAAAATCCAGTGTAAGGACTACTGCAAACGAACCAAGCCAAGAGCCAAAGTATAAATGCAACCTAAGTTAGTTTTAAATATTTTCAATACATATCTGCACAGGCACCATTTTAAATTCTAGGCTGCTACAACAGTCATTCAGGACAATTAATCACTGCAAGTGACAAGGATGAATACTTAAAAAAGTTCTAACAGAACTTTTGCAGTGTTCACTTACAGAACTAATTCTTTTAAGAATTAGAAAACAAGATCCAGTTGATATGAATAACAACATAAAAGGAGAAGCTCCTCTCATGCTCGGAGAACAGCTGCAACATTTTTTCTCATCTGCCTTTTCCTGCAGCTCTGCTCCCTAAGCCACACTGCCTCAGTGAACAACTAACAAAGGAAATGTTAATATTCAGCCTAAAATCAAGGACATATTAATCCTTTAAAATTATTTTTCAAGATTTTATAGAAATTTCTTTGAAAATACTTTATTTTGTAGTGCAATATTTGGATGAAAAATAAGACAAAAGGTATTCTTAAATGCAGCAATGCCATTTTATGTTTATTTGCTGAGGGGGGCATTGCATAGGGAGATCTTCAGCAGATCTTGTTAACAAGTGCTGCTCTTCATCTGGAATTTCCTTTACTCCTCCATTTACTGTCCACCTACGTATTCAATCCTTCACTCTACAAATTACAGCTGCAATTGTAAATTAAAAATTGATACATAAGTACATATTAGAGTATTTTTAAGAGAGTCAAAGACAACTTGTGGACTATTTAGTGAAATTCCACTCTTATCAAAACACTACACTAGTGAAAGCAGTGGAAATATTTTATTGTGGGAATGTTATGCCAATGCTTCTCGTTATACCTTTTGAAGTCAGGCTTAGTTTTCACTGAAGTATAAAAATTATAATTGAAAAAGAAAGATAAGCTTTGAAAAGGGAATCATACAATGAAATAGTGATGCAGAGCAATTCTTAAAAAAGAGATCTAAGCTCTGCTGACTATCAGGACCACGCTCTTGAGGTCAGGAGGGTGATTAAGGGCTTTGCTAAATATAGTCTTAAAATATGCCTTCAGAATCTATTCATAAGAAAGCTTGATTGCTTATGATGTCTATTACTCTCTATTCTTAGTGGAAATGCAGACTGCTTGTTGCATTGTATATTATTATAATCATAATACTTAGCATATTGTGTATTACTCACAACATGAATGCCTAAAACTAACCTAGGTTTCTTTATCCTTCTCTAAAGGAGATTAGTTTTAAATCCATCCTTCTCTTTATGACAATCAGAATTGCAATTTTGTGTTAAAAAACGAGAACTTTCAGTATTTAGAAAAAACACTTTATAACAGTATAAGTCTTCAGGGAGTGTGAGGCAGATGTACATAATTCAGGCACACAACAAAGTCAATACATATAAAGACCTGATATTAACTACAAAGACCTACTCTATTCTAAAACTCATCCATACATACTAAACTGCACAAAATTCTGCATCAACCAGGCAATAAACATATTATTTTTATTAAATCAAAACATGTAATTGTCCATTCCAATTCTACATTTTTTAAAAACAAAAGCTGTATTCAATACTACTGTGACATACTACACATATTTAAAAAGAATACCAGGTAAAGAAGGATAGACACTAGAAAATATGTTTTCTAAAATTCAGAGTGTGAACTGAATTCAAACTCATGTGAACACACAAATTAACTAACCAGGAAAATTCCACAATAATTAATCAAAACTTCATTGCACTTGTAAAGAATGAAGTAATTTGTTAGCTCTTAATTGGAAAAAATAAAAAGGACTCTGAGAAACTGTATTATTTTATTGGTATACTTAAAATCATTGAACACTGTCATGACACAGCATTTGTAAGATTGGCAGTAACGAGAAAAAAAAATTTGGCGATATAATGAATTCACTATTTATAAAGAAATATTTTTCACTCCAAACGCAAAGCCAAGTAACTGACATAGAGGAGTTATTTGCACAATTAATTCCTTATTACAAAATTCAGATCTGAGATTAAGCCAGTGAAGTACAACAATCCCCTTTTATACTGCAGCAAATTTTATAAACGGAAGTAATTTTTGCTTTCAAATTTTGATCCACTACCTAAAATAAATAAATGTTTCATTTTGTCTCAAATGCTCTAACATTCTTCTTTAAACCAATTTTTTTTTCAAATTTTACGTTTTTTCCACTCTGGTTTGTCTGTTTCATCATCTTCTGGTTCCACTTCTGCAAAAACTGTTTTTGGCTGTGTTCTAGAAAACATTAAAAAGATTAAAATAGTGGTCAGACTACAATACTTCATCGGAAACTTCATCAGACAGGCGCTAGACACAAACAATATATTATACAGATATATACTTTATAAAAGAGCATGCTAGACTCACCCATTTTTATTTTCGACATTAACATATCAACTAACCTCCTGAGAACTGAAGAAACTTGCAGCTCACAGGCAAACAACCATAACAAACACACATATTTTGCAAGTATTATTTCCTCATCAGCTCACAATCATTATCTGTATTCCATGAATAAAATTAAGATAGCAGCAAGAAAAAATTACATTTAATTCAATGCTAGAAACCTGGAGCCACTGGTCTCCTCATTCCATGACTTTTTAAAAAGAAACCTCCATTTTGATACACTGTAGTACGACAGCAGCCAGTAAGTGAAAACAGAACAGCTAAGCCAGGTTTCTGGCTAAGTCTGTGCATGAAAAAAGCAGCTTTCCCTCTAGAGACTTTATCCAGCACTACTGTAACATAAAAAAACCTAATGATCTTCATATGACAACACAGTGTATCCTACAGTCAAGCTTGATGGTATCAATTCCTCCACTGTTTACTTGTATTTTAAATACCACTTAAACTTTATAAAAATAATTATTGATTACTTTTTAAACGAACATGGTATCAAGTAGCAATTCAATAAACTGTTTGGACATTCAGTTCCCCTGTTTTACACTTTAGTCACTGCAGGGTCCCCTCTTCCAACTTAATTCTCAGCACAATCACTGCAGAGCTGAACCTCCTGGATTACCGATGCTGGCTGTGCTCAACTTCTTGTTAAAACAGACATGACAAAGCATAAAACACAGCCAAGGCAGTCATCATCTCATTAATGTATTAATTAATGTTTTTACAGCAGTCTAAGGGTGTGAAATGCCATTATTGTAACAACTATAAAAAACCCTACAAAATGCAAAAATCTTAACAACATTGTATCTGCCTTCCATAACACAATAGGCATAATTCAATGCTGCCTCTGCCTTCGAAGAGTAATAGCAAGCAATCACCGATTAAAGACCAGGATTCTCCACTTCTTAAATATGTGGCACAAACAGATTTAAATTCACTAAAACTAGTCAAAGACAGCTCCCCTTAAATACAGGATCTTTCTGTTGGCCTGCCTTCTCCTTCATCCTCCAAGCTTGCCATGGAGGTAAGGAACACACTTAGATGTCCCAGAGATGGCCCTACTGCTGAACTCTCACTGGCACATGGTCCCTGGGTGCAGGCCGAAGGTTCCAGTACTTCCAAGCAGACCTTGTACCCAGATGAGGACCTATACTACGGAAGTTAGAGGAGTCATTTTACCATCCATGGAAATCATGACTAAGATTAAAAAATATTTTCCAATTAAAATATTTCCTTAGAAAATAGTTACATAAACTCTACCTAACCCATCACTGAAGAAGGATTTTTTAAAAAAAAGGGGGAAAAAAAATTAACATTCCATCCAAAACAGACACCAGGGATGAAGGCTTTATTGGCTGAAATATTGAATTTTGTTAGTTACTGAAGAAGAAGAATGCATGGAATCTTCTTCTCCTTTTTTCAGAACATACTGACAGAAGTTTATTCAGTCCATTTTGACGCTGTACCTTCCTTTTAATACAACATATGAAAGGTATCTAAATAGGATCACATCACTACTGAGATGTTCATTAGTAAAGTGCAACTAATCAAGTGCAAATTACCATTTCTTACCATAAACCTGCAACTGTCATAATTTGGACAGAAATTTCCAGCTTAGAAGAATGAATAAGTTCATGAAACAAGCAGCAGAGTCTACGTTTTTTCCAGGATAGGAGTGGCACACAAAAAAAGTCAGAAACTTCAGCTAATCTAAGTGTGCTACTGAGTGCAGCAAAACTGGGGGTGGAGGCAGAAGGAAAAAAAAACCCGTAGCCTAATCTAGCACTATCCAGCTAAAGCAATAACATACAGAGGAAATCAAGTCTGCTTGCTACCTTGCTTTTTTAAAATTACCATGAAATAGCTGTAGCCTCAGCTCAGCTGAAATGTAAACTGTTCCACCTCCAGAAGCTATGCAGCCATAACTAGGGCACCTAGGGTGATTCATATGCCTGACCATTTTATAACATTTTTTTTGTTATTGCTTTATCAGTAGCGATCATTTAATTTTTGTTATTACCTTATCAAAAGTGATCATTTAATTTAATTTAAACACAAATTTTTCTGCTTAGTAACTGCTAGCATAGTAGGAGTTTGCTATATGATTAAAATTTATACAAAAATTATCAAAACAAGTTTACTACTTAGAAGTACTTTTATTACTGAAGGCTAAACAACACATGTGGAAAGCCGTGTTCTTTTCCCCATCAAATTTCTCAATTTTATTTACTCTTGACTTAAGGGGTTGATTTCAGTTCGTTAAGGATCTGCTTGGCAGATCCCATGGGAGACTGCTATGGAGGGCAAAGGGGCCCAAGGAGAGCTGATTGATCTTTGAGGGCAGCCTCCTCAAAACAGATTACACTTCATATGCAGAAAGCAAAGCTTGGCAGTAGCTTTGTATGGATGCACATGGATCTGACCAAGATAAAGTGTGAACCCCAAAAAGGAAGAACACAGACAATGGAAGCAGGGGCAACCTTAGCCAAGAGCAACAGAGGCATTATGTGAACGTGTAGGAACAGAGTTGGGAGAGCTAAAGCTCAGCAGGAATTGAAACAGAAAAGAAATATGAAAGGTAACACTAAGGGTTTTTACAGCTACACTGACAGTCAAAGAAATGCTAAGGAAAATGTTCTTGATGGAGCAGGTAAACCACTAACACAGCATACAGAAAAGGTCAAGATACCCAAGGTTTTTTTTGGCTCCATTTTCCCTGAGGTCTGTCCTCACGCCTCCAAGGACCCCCACATTACCAGCAGAATCTTTGTTAGGGAGTGCGACATTACCAAGAGGATGGCAGAGAGTATGTAGCTCATTGGACATGCAAAAATCCATGCTTTCAGATGGGGTGGATCCACAGGTAGCCAGGGAGCTGGCCCATGTCATTGCAAGGGCACTCTCTCATCTCCCAGATAGCATGTTGACTGGGAGAGGGTCTCAAGGACTAGAAAAGGCAATCACCATCATCTTTGTGAAGGGCAAAAGGAGGATTCGAGGAACTACTTAATCTTATTTCCTAGGAAGGCTATGGAACAAATCCCCATGGGAGGCATTTCCAGGTACATGAAGGTGGAAAGGAACAGCCATCACGGATTTAGCAAGGGCATATTGCCCGTGCCAACCAGATTGCTATAACAGGCTGTTCAGAGAGGTGTTGTAGGATCTCCATCCTTGAGGACACTCAACCTCAGCTAGGCAAGCCCCTGAACAACCTGAATCTAATTGGACTTGAGCAGCCTCATCTAAGTGAATATGCTTTAAGCAGCAGTTTGGATTAAATGACCTCAGGCATTCTCTTCCTATCTAAATTATTCTGTGATCCTGTGTTTCCACATGACTGTCAGTGGAAACCAGTATCTCATACACTGAAAAATGCATTCCTATTGTGGGTTACAGGAACAAGCTGCAAACAAAAATGGGAAAGCAAACTAGCATGATTTATTTATACTATCTGCTTCTCTTTTATTTCAGTGGTTTTCAGCATATTCAGACATGCAGACCCCTAGAAAATTTCCAGAGGCCATGTAGACCACTTTAGAGTCACCATAATCCCTCTAGTTATGGGTTGTTTTTCTTTGTTGCCTTTCAGGGATCCAATAAAAGTAGCTCATTGACATCTGAGGATCATAGACTAGCAGATAAATAATACTGCTGCAGCTAAACCAGCTGGAGATGACAACTGCATATCACAACATGTGACTCATGTCGAAGTAACTTTTGAAATTTGTGTTTATATTGCACTGAAACAAAGAAAAAAGACTTTAAAGCATGCTTGGAAACAAGAATCATGTCATAAAGGCTACTTCGAAACTGAAAAGTTAAGGTTTTCAGCATCAGGCCCTTTCTTTATTCTCTACCCCACCAACCACTCTGACTCTACTCTGAATCTCAGGGACCTACCTCTCAAAATTACCAATTTACAAAAATATATTTAGGGTAAATACATGAACACGTGCCAACAAGGTCACTGTTACAAAACATTCTGTTCAGTTCTGATTTTTCAACTAAAGATACTCAAGAAACTACACGACTAACACTTCACATACCGGTACTGCCCTCAAGAAAAACTTCAGTGAACACAGCACAGCCATCAGCTGTTGCTTCAAGTCATTCCTTTTTGCCTGGGACAAGCAGCAACGACAAAGACTGCAAAATAGGGGCAAAATTCACTGAACTGAAAGGTATTTTCAAGAATTCTGGTTTACCTTGGTGAGGAGGGAAATTTCACCCTCATCTTCCCTCTGGTACATAAGAGAGCTGCATCTGGGCCTGATTAGGCACTCAGCTACAATGCTTAGTAATTCCTGCTGATGCTTCAGAGGGACATCTGAAGTCATTATAGTATATCTGTACAGCTGTGTTAAAACAAACAGCTCACAAAGAATGTAATTTTCAAACATTTACAACTGATGCCTCAAGTTCCTTTCCTGTAGTTCTTTACTTGAAATCTTCAATCTGTCCTTCCTTTCCTTTCACTCCAGTGGAATGGCTCTTGCCAAGGTTTCTAACAAGCTTTTTCCTGAGAAATCTCAGGATCTTTTCTTTATCCTCATCCATTACGACTTTTCTGCTGTGTTGATCACATCTTATTTGACACTTTATTCACACTGGGCTTCTGTGACATGTCATCTGATTAAGCATGTACTTCTTATCATCCCCAGTATCCTTTTCAGCAGCATCTGTTTTTTTCACCCATCCTTCTACCTCTTACGTACTTCCCCCTCCTTTCTGGCTCAAATGTCAGGAGAAATGGAAAGGTCATGCTAATGATAACAAGCTTGAAAAAATTTTCAAGTGATAAATAATGCAAATGGCTATTTGGCTTCAAGAACAAATCAGGCACCTTTAACTCAAAAAAAAAAAAAAAAGAATGATGCATTTTTACATCGAGTGCATAAACTAACCGCAGAAGTCATGTATTTCTTGTAAGATTTACTGAAGTAAAAATCATAGAATCATAGAATGCTTTCTGTTGGAAAGGAACATAAAGATCATCTTGTTCCAAACCCCCTGCCATGGGCAGGGGCACCTTCCACTAGACCAGGTTGCTCAAGGCCTCATCCAAGCTGAACACATACAGAGATGGGATATACTTCTCTGGGCAACCTGCTCCAGTGCCTCACTGCCCTATGAGAAGAGAATTTCTTCCTAACATCTAAACTAAATCCTCTTTTGGTTTAAAACCATTCTCCCTTATGCTATCACTATCTGCCTGCGTAAAAAGTCACTTTCCCTCATATACAATTAAAAAAGCATTAAATCAGTTATCTTATTCAAAATGACCTAAGCACTATGGATCAGGACCAAATGAACTCCAACCCAGTCATTTTATTCCCAGTTATGAAAACTGATTAACAAAAAAAATGAGCATTTCCTAATCTTCTTGGTCTAAAATTATTTAGTAACTATCACTGGAAAAAATTAAGTAACTATAGTTTCCTTAGACATCTTCTGAAGAAGGAGAATGAAGAACTTATGTGAATAACCATTCGTTAGACAAGACGAGACCAAAAGCCTTGTCAAACAAAAGATATATCAAGTGGATAGTTTTATACCATGTTTAAGTGAAAATTTACTACAAGAAATGTGGAAAAACTGGTAGCAGAAGAATAAAGTAGTAAAAGAATAAACATCATTTAAAAAAATAAAACATACTGGATGTATGGTTTTTAGGCCTTAAGACAGTATGTAATTTTAAGTATATATCAGAATTTCACCTTTCTTAACCCTACAGTAAATCTTATGCTATAGTTAAAGCAGCTATCCAGTATACAAACCAGTATTATGTGATAATTTATATCAATTATCTGCAATTTGCATATTTTATGAAATATAAATCTGTAAGTACAACTATAAGATGCGTTATATACAGGTTAAACAGACATGCTCTATAAAGTCACACATAGGATATAATAATTACAACTTTCTGTGGCTGATAATATAGACCCCCATTTCTGAAACTTAAGAACAGTAATAAAGTTTCTGCATTTCAGTGTCTTAGCCAATAATAACAACAATAATAATAATAATAATTATAATTTTTAAAATGCTGTTTGCATAGAGTACATACTAAAGTCAAGCTTTTAAAGCAAGGATGATGGCAGCTTTACTAGCATGAGATTTATCAGCTGACAAAACCATGAAGGCAGCATGCTGCTGGCTGCAGTCCAATTCCCCCACATACATATCACCGTCTGGTGTGTAAGTTAATAGCAGTCTGGACTTGCATCCTGCCCACTTCTCAGCCAGCTCTCTTCTTCCCCTGCAGCCACATCTTTAACAAGGAACTGTAATGAGATCTGGCCACCTGACACAGTAAGACTCCTGTACCACAGCTTTGTTTTAAAACTTTCATGTCTACTACACTGCAGGTGTCAGGGATGAAACTTAATATGCAATCAACGAAGTTACTAAGATACTGAGGTATCTATCTACCGGATGGAATGTGTGATTTACTTTTGAGCATGGATACCTCAAATAAAACCAGATGCCTACACATTCCAAGTGTATTTCATCTCTAGCAAACATGAACTCTCAAACAATTAAAAATCAATATTTAGCATATTCATTACAAAAACTGCTAGAGAATTAGGCTTTCCAATATCCCTTCTTTGGTACCAAGAGTGCACTGGTTTGATGTACAACATCAAATGCCATACTTATCCATTACCAGCATGCCATACTTATTAACTATTCAGCCAAAGCCAGGCTGGCTCACTGACATTCTCAAGCTGCTCTGGAACAGCGATTTAGTTGGTTTTGTGAACATGTGGACCAAGTCAGAAAGCAAGTGTCACCATTAGAAATAAGCTATGATTCTTAATATATTTCAAGTTTCTGGAAAGAGGTGGTGATTGTTTCACTGCAGAGCTAAACATCAATAAAGAAAGTAGTCAGTAAAGTACTAGCGCATGTACAGCCTTGGAGATAGAACACTGGGCTGCAAAAAACAAAAACAATTCATTACTGGCAGACTGTTCTGTGAAGACTATTTCATGTCTTCAAAATGTTTTCCTGACGCATTTTGAAAACACTACTTGACAGGTTATTTTGTGTAAAAAACCCATCAATGATAATAAAATGTGACAATGCCAGTAATTTTTAAAGTGGTACTTTCTGTTCAGTAGTATGAAACGCATTCATTTAGCACTTATTTTAGTATTATTGTGAATGTATTTATTTAATTGTTTGAAATATATTTATTTTTAGGAAAAAAACCCCTTTGGCAGAAAGCATTCTAGAAGCATATTGCACAATTTTCATTGTAACACATACATACAAATACCACATTCATACATACCATTTAAATTGAGTAAATCGCCATCTGTGGGATTACCAAGATATTACTACAAAAATCTTGATGAAGCTCTTTAATTTATGTAACTGAAAACTTAGTTCTTTATGCTGAATTTTTGATAGGAGATTTTATCGGTGCAATTTTTAATATTGCTGTACCCTTAAAATTTGCTAATTCAAGCAGTTACGCGGGTCCTCATGTAGGAAACTTTCAGATAAAACTTACGACAGCCAAGAAATCATCCAGAATATGCTGTCATAACACCAAATACTTATTCTGAAGGTCTAACCTAAGAATCAGTCAGAACTAGAGGGCATATTGGAAAATCATCCCATTATGTCAATGCGACAGTACTCTATTAAAAGATACACTGCAATATCAGACATTGATTAGAAGATTCTAAACTCTAATAACTTAGAAAGCTTTAAAATAACTTTCTAGCACTGAAAGGTACATTTTAAAAATGGAAATGTGAAATTTCAGTAACTTAACCTCCTGTAAACTCTCATCTTCATAGAAGTGTATGGTATACTCTTGGTTTACGTATTTGTGGCAGCAATCCAAAAAAGGCAAAGTATACCACTAAAAACATCTCTTCTATTTTTACTGAACTCCCACTGGCCTCCAGAAATATTACTTGTGTTTTAAATTGTTTCCTTACTTAGCATATGCCGGAGCAACCCAGTATGGATTCTCCTCCGCTTCCTTTGCGTGACGTAAAATAGCCTCTCGAGGGTTGCTATCATCCGTCTTATCCAGTGCAATATTCTTGACTATATATGATGACAGGGTGACTCCATGGGTTCCAACACGCCCACCCCGACCTGAAGCAAAAGGAGAAAAATACTTAAGAAATATGAAATGTCTGTAACAGTGGTCTGGTACACAGAAGTTACTTAGTACTATAGGAGGAGTCTAATTCAGAGCTGCGTTCACGCAAGTGTTTTACTGATTATATAACTCAGAGTAAGTCACTGTGATTATTAATTTTTTGCAGGCTAGCACTCCAATCATAGACATCAATGTCTTACGGTGCTGGACACTGCCCATACATCTATAGGGTAAAGTCCCCACCCGAAAAGGTTTGCACACAAACTGAAAAGGATTGAAGAACCAAGGCATGATGTCCCTTTGGCATACAACAGTCTGAAATGATTATGCCTAGATTACCTGCTCCTGCTACTGGAGGTTCAGGTTTGTGAGACTTCAGGGGGTCCAGCCTATCCTTCTCCAGCTGTTTCCTGGTGCTTCGCTGTCGTGGTTCACGGAACATTGGAAGTGCATGGGCTGAAGGGTCACAGTTTGGAGAAAAAAAAAAGTTAGAAATTCCATTTCCTTTTTAAGGTTTTAAATACAAAGACTTGGATTCTTTCTTGCAATGGAAAAGGTGGCAGGAGCAACCGCCCAGTTCTTCCATATACAAACAGTGGTCTACTGAGGTGTACTTTGGAGGGTTTCTTTCTGCTGAATTTTTCGAAGATGAAAGCAGCCAGATACCAGGGTTCTTTCAGGCAGGAGCCTCTCATCTGAAATACTGTATGCACAGCTTATGCATATTTAATTCACTCCTCTGTCGTTCAGTTCTCAACATTAGCATTGTGACCAACCAGTTGCTTTTTTCCGAACTTTCATGTTTCTACAGCTTTCTCATGTTCTAAGAACATGACAAAGCTCTTGATACATTCTTGGATCTGAAACAGCGTGGGGTGGAAACCACTCAATGACTCCAAATGTAATTTTATGCATATATAGTCACAATCACGTTCCTTCTTAAATTATAAGATTAATCACCATTGGAAAAATACTCATAACTGAGACAATTTGGCTAAACTGTCAGGACTGAAAACTTACTTTTCCTCATAAACGTGTTACAGCACCTTCAATCACAGTAATGGTTTAGGTCCACTCAGACAAGAAACTCATTTGTCAGCAACAAAGAAGTATCACATTGAGGGACATGGTTTTCTTAATGTAATGTTTAGCTCTCATTCAGATGTGCTCACTGCTGCTGTTTCCCAAAATGTGGGAAACTGTGTAGTGGTCAAACAATCCAACAAAGACTAAAAATAAACAAAAAATCTTAAATGTAGGAACCTCATCTCTATATTGAATAAAAAAAACAGAAGGCAGCATTCAGGGACCTGAATCAGTTCGAGTTTTCAGCTTTTTTCTGTAAGTCTGCTCAACTTATTAGACTGAGCAAAGTCACAGCCAGGTGACACAGCAGCAAACTCTTGGAAACAAATGTTTAGGTTTTATTTTTGCAGATTTCATGAAGTATGAAATGCCTGGGACAGTTTTCTGGCAAGTACTAAGCTTGATCAGTTTCCATAGCACATCTCAGGTGACTAATGCACAGATCCAAGCTTTTGCCATTTGTGGAGTCAAGGCTGTCTAAGGGAAACCCAAGCTGTGTATTCCTGTGTGTCAAAAGTGACACTTAATCCCTTGAAACAACATTCCTACATTTGAAGTAGCCATTACAGGCAATTCTGATATTAAAGGGCAACTAAAGTCTAAAGAAAAAAGAGAAAAAAAAAAAAGATGAGAAGGGAAAAGGGGATCGGTTCACATTGCAAAAGCACTTCAGAGATCTTTAGTTCTTCCAGTTCTATTTCTAAACTTAAAAGACAGACATCTAACCTCTTAAAAGCTTCCAAAATATGCAACAAACTTAAAAACTTGCTAAGCAAATCCTTAAAACGTTTTTCTACATTGCTTTATATGAAAGCATCCTTATTTAGTTTCAAAATTATGTGGAAAAACCAGTTCAACAGCTAGAACTCAGTGATAAAACCATGAATCTTTGCATAATTTGGACCTGTATCATTCAGTGACATCTATAAATGCTTGTGAACACACAAGTTCCATTGAATTTTTAGCAGAAATTTTTTTTAAAAGTCACAGAAGTTCTTTACGGTGTAGACACAGTGCACACAAAATGTTACAGTCAAGGGTGTTGTAAGGATCGATTGAGAATAGCACCCAAAGAAGATAAAAATCCCTGATCTTTGGCAGCTGCTACTTACTTTAGCCCAAAAACTGGAGCTGGACATGTGCAGCAGTGGGGTAGGTTGGAGACAGCTGCAGCTGGAAAGTACCTGAGATGGGAACCCAGAACCAGAGTGCCTTGATATGGGTCTAGTTACCAAGACTGCCCAAACTTTCTCATTCTAAAGCTTCTTTTTGTTTATTATTGCTTTTGTTTTACAGAAATGGTTTTAGTATTTGTAAAACCAAGACTACTAGAAATCAGAGCTGAATACAAACACCATGGAGCTGGAAAAGGATGAAGAGAAGCAAGACAACACAACTGTGTGACTGTTCTCATTCCACATGAGAAAACACTATGTTGGGTAATGCTAATGGGGAGGGCCAAAATCTCTCAATCGATCCCCTCATCCCATCGTAAAATTTGTTCTTGGGGCAGATCACTAAACAGTTTACAGTAACAACGACAACTACTCCCTATTCATCAGCGAGTCTTAATATGAATACAAGGTCTTAAAAACTCAGAGGCTAGAGATAGTTAAGCTATTCAAAACCATCTACAACTCTGGGTAAGTTATAAATTTTAGAAAATCCTTTGAAATTGTACAAGACCTATCTGTCAAGTCTCTGCTTTTGTCACTGGTACTGCTAATGTTCTCCAAGTGGCAAAACTCTTCCTAAATCCATCTACACTCCACAATTTAGTCATTCAAAACTGAAGACTTGAGAAAGCTCTGAAATTTTTGAGGCTTTTGGGTGCACCGCAATCTAGAAATCAACCATTAACAAAGTTACAGAGCATACAGAATATATATATACCTTTCCGGTTGTGCAAGGCTACAAAAAATTTGCATGAAGCACCAATATCTCATACTGATGATCAATGCTTAATGAAAGACTGCAACTTTTTAGGGGGAAAATACGAAGCTTAATAATCTGCAAACAATTTCAAACCTAAGAAAGAGCTAAGGATGCTGCTATAAAGATATGTTTAAATTCCTTACGCGTTATAATGTAATCCTGTGTAAGAGTCTCTGCTTGTCTCTCTTTTCGTTTTGTTTTGACCACACATAATTTTGCTCCCCTAGGAGGAAACAGAGCAGTTAAGTTGGCCTGTTTACATCAAACAGAAACCAGTTTTTATTCAAGACAGTCTCAACAAAATTATACAGCACTTTAAATATTCATGAATGTGTGTATCTTTGCCTGTTCATGCACATGTGAAGGAGAGCAGAGAGATTATAGTGTTTCTGTTACAGAGCGGTTTATATGACATGCAGAAATAAGGGTGGAAGATTCATTTCACACTTCATTTGTCCACAGTACTTATAGTGTGCACATTGAAAGTGCTCCTCTCCAAACATGGGCATTGATTTGCTCCTAATATTCTTCCTAAGCAGCAGAGGTGGCAGTTATCTAACCAGAAGTGTCTGTAACACTGCAGCAGGAAAGACTGCATAAGCTTGGCTGCAGCAAGATTGATTTAAACTAGTGGTTTTCCTCCTCACGGTAAATTCCAGGAAAAAAACGGACACAAAACTGCAGTGGGGCTCTGTGGTCTGTGCCTAGGAGACTCTAGCTGCTCTCTGGAGAAGGGTCCAAATAATGGTGACCAACTCTTGTACTCTAAACTGACAAAACCACAAAAAATAAAACTTATTTCTGCTAATCTTGTAAACCAGAGTTTATCTTCACCTCCAAGTGTCCAGGTCACCGTAAGTATCCAGAAACCACAAACTGTAACACAGTTTGGTTTTGGATGCCAGCAAAACAAAGATGAGCGCATATAAGGTAAGAATATTGTATTTATACCACTCAGTATCAATGAAGTACACATTTCCTCCCTGCTAACAGGAAGGAAGCATGCCTCAGTTCAGGTAAAAGCAAATTAATCACAAGACAAGTATTTATAGACTACTTAGGCCCTCTTCATTCCAGGCTGACAAGTCACCCTCTGATAAATCACTAATAACTAAATCTCTAATAAATCACTAACATTTTTCCCTTTTCCTTTTTACAGGCAAAATCCACATGTGATAAGTGGGGATGGGGAAGAAGACCAGAAGAAAGATGGAAATGTTCTTCCTTGGTTGGCACCTTCTCAAATTGGGTCTTTCAGTATTACTTCACCAACACTGAAATTTAATGCTTCTAAACAAGATTTTTACATCAGGAAAAAAATATACATTAAAAAGTATGACTAAATACAATAAATATCCATTCAGTAACACTACCTCAGCAACCTCCAAGAGATAGGATAAAAGGGTGGTTATTCTTACTGCAGATTTCATGAAATTAAAAAATGAAAGTGTCTGTAAACTCAGGCAGAACAGCCAGCATACTGCACCATGAAAAGCCCAGAGGAAAATGCACCGTTTCTCAGAAGCAAACATTTTGGGTTATTTTTTCTCTTTCTACTGTTGTTAGATAAGTAAAACTGCAAGATGAATGTTACTAGACCAGTTTTTCTCACTTCTTAGTATAATCACTGAATCACAGAATCAGGTTAAATTTGAGAAAAAAAGATAATTTTCTTAATCATAGAAGGTACTTACATACCTTTGGCTTTTGACAGGATCATAGTACACTTTGGCTAAACCATTTCCAGTACCAACCATGATCTGGTTCAGCTTGGGATGCCAAAGGCAACGCACAACACTCTGAAACAAAGTGACATATTGATAGTTAGTTGGTCATTCATCTAGATCTTAGAATTAACATTCACATTGTCAAAGTGGATCACATTGTATTAGGAACAAGTGTAAGCACATGAATGAATATGTGAATATGTGAATGAACAGAAGTTCCTCTTCAGGGAGTGACAACACATGGATGTAGGCAGAGAAGGAAGTGAAAACTGGTGATAGTGTGATAATTAGTGGTTTCCATAGGCTAACTGCCCCACAGTCTAAATGAGAAAAATGGAAATGCTAAGTTAGAGGGATTTGAAGGAGAACAATAAAGTGCTTCAGATTTGATATACAGTGATCCAGGCCTCCATGACTTCTGCATTTTTATTTTTAAATCTTAATTCTCCCACTTTGCTCATTGCTTTATCTATTTTTGCCTTTTTCTCATACACTGCTGACCTTTTACTTGCTGGCTGCAGAAATAGAAGAGATGCTGATTTTCACTCTTGCTTCTTTCTTCCCCACAACACTAAGAACTTGGTATTTGTAGCCAATGTCTCACAGCACTGTCACCCTTCTGGTCAGCAGCAAAACTCATTTTCAGACATTAAGAGTATTGTTTCTTTATATACACAGCATGGTTCTCCATATGACTTTGAATCCCCATGTGATCACTGTTTTCCATCTGATTCAGCAGGTCAGCACAGAAACTCAAAGATTCAAGCCTCTGACTCAAGACAGACAAAGTGGGAACAATATGCCAGAAAGGACAACCCATCTCATAACAAACACAAAACCTGTATGTGCATCTGACTAAATAGGGGGGGAAAGAATCTGTTTTTGAGAGAGAGTAATTCTTTAAAGGGATTTTGTCCAAGGCTGAAGTCGGTTTGCACCACTTATGTAATAAACATCAAGTTGCACCATCCTGTTAGAATTTAATGGAAAAATGCTCCTTTTCCTAGCCTTCCACCCCTGCAGCTTACGACTTCCTCCTCAATAGCCAGGAACAGGCTCTTCGAGTGAATTAATAATTTAATACTCAACCATTATCATTCATCTGTCATTGAAGTATCTATACAAAATTATTTTGTTTTACACAATACTGCACATGGAATTCACAAAATGGGAACCACAAATGTCTTAACAAGAGAAACACAGGAAAGATAAAATATAATTAGGGGTGTAAAACAGCCCTACAACCTGTGAAATAAGAGCTATCTGATCTGGAAGAGAACGGCCATGTATCAGCTCTAGTGACTCCTGGATCACTTCCCATTTCATGTTCCATACTATTTCTGTTTTCTGAATTTAAAAAATATTGAAAAAATTCTGAGGCTTATCCAGACATCATGAATCAGAACTTCACACAAGATGATGGATGACACTGTTCTGAGCTGTTTTTCTAGTTTATGTTCTTGTTTAAGAATAAAAACCCAGTGAGATGAATTTTCTTATAAAGTTCCTCAGCAAAACAACCTTCTTCTACACAGATACACACACATTATACCCTTCTCATTTACTTACAAGCACAAATATACCTGGCTTGTTAATTACAAGACAACTAAAGAACAACATTTTTATGAAGCACAAAGTAAATCTCTGACAATGCATTATGTCCAGGATTCCTGCCACAATACAAGGTTACTAATAAGTTGTTTGATTTAAGTAAGAGAGTCTTACATACTGTTATGTAGAGCTCAAAATGCTAAAGTAACTGTAAAACACCAAAGCTAATATCAAGCATTGAAGGTCAAAGGTGGGTGGCCTTTTCTTTTATTAATATTTATTGCATGTGTTTAGCCAGCCTTTTTAAACTCTGTAGTTAATGTGGTTCTCCACTTTCTACTGTCAAGTAAATGTATTTTATAGCATGGTAGTGGATACCAGCCAACAACAACAAGCTTGAGACAGTGTGGCTCAGCGCTGATGGGGCTTGCTAAGTTTCTAACTTGTCAAACATGCACAGCACACTTAAAACCACCATGGCACGTGCTACAAAGCAGGCAAAAGAAACTGCCGTTAAATGTAGCCCTATAAATCTTCTGAAACCGTAAAATGTCCCCAGAATACAATTTGTTAAAGACTAAACAAACACAAGCTCTGAACATGCAATTAATTTTATTAATCCATTAGCATATAAACCTACTTTATAAGAAATAATAAAAACTACTTATGCAGTTTTCAGATTATTTTGGAAATTGACAATACTTAAAAAATACCTAAATACTGAATCCCCGAACTATACCCTAACAAATTTTCCCAATCATATTATCCTAAAGAAGCAAAAAATTCTAATCAACTATACAATAAAGGGATCATTATAGACTAGGTCTTAACATTGGGAGGAAAGGGTAAGGAGAATCTTTATCATACAAAAACAATTAACCCTTGAAGAGTATTTTCCTTTGATACATCTAACTTCCCTACTGTTTACACTTAGATTAAGGCAGGTAGACATCTTTATCACTGGAAATGCTAAATACAAAATTCCAACTCAAAGCAGGTCCTACCTCCTAGCTCTCCAGGCAAATAAGTGTGTTAACTGCTGAAAAAGAAATGTTTTCCTCTCTTGGCCTACCTGTGCATGCAGGTAGATACCCAACAACTGACACTGAATTTTATACAACCACAGAAGTTGTGGAGGGAGCTCTGGAGTTGGAAGGGAGCTCTGGAGATGACTAATTCAACCATCCTGGTCCAAGATGGTAAATTATGACATACATCACAGGATATCATCCAGTTTGGTTTTTAATATTTCCAACGATGCAAGCTCTACAGCCTCTCTGGGCAATCTGTTTCAATCTACAACCAGCCTCACACCAAAAAAAAAAACCAAAAAACACAACCCCCCAAACCATTTTCTTACGTTTAATGTCCCACGATCAGTTTTGTGCCCATTACCTCTTGTCCTGTCACTGGGCAGCACTGAGCTTTGCTTTGCTTGCTTCACCTTCCTGTTCCCCTTCAAGTATTTACACATAAAATCCCACATAAGCATCCTCTTCTCCAACCTAAGCAATCCTAATTCTCTCAGTCCTTCCTTCTGTGCCAGATATGCCAAGCCTTTAATCATCTTTACAGTACTCTATTCTGTTAATCTATCTCTTACACTGGGAGATCAGAACTGGACCCAGCACTACAGATGTGTCTCACCAGGGCTGTGTCATGGGCTTCTTGCTGCCACTTTCTGTTTCTCTGAGGTGGAGAAAGTATTTGCCATTCTACAAGTGCCTATTAAAAATTGCTTGTTTCATTTTAAGGTTGTAGCCTGCAATGGAACCCAACATAAACAAGGTGGTACTACAGTTTTCCTTGTCCCTGAGACAGCAGTTCAGGCTGGAAGCAATAGCCTCAGCAGTTAAGAGCAAACTGAGAGCTCTCACTCCACTCACCGAGATGGTTTCATGCTTGGTAAGAGAAGTAAAAGAGCAGGGAATTAAATTGCCTATCCTTGCTTTATGGAAACCCAGCAGAAAAGACTTGACTAACAGTAATAGTGGTTGTTAGGAAACCCCATGGTTACAGCTTCAAGAATCAGAAAATACAAACACCGGAACAACAAAAAACCCCTTCAGTTAACAAATTTTAGATAGTTTTGTTTTGCAAATGGAAAATAATGTCTTGTAACAAATAAGAATGACAAAATGCAGAAGGTATCATCCCATAAACATCTTCAACATTTGGCAAAAAGATATCTGCAATGGCTGGGTGTTTCCAACACCATACTTTTGGAGCATGAAGCCCTGGAAGCCTGACATAAAAATTCTGAAAATAATTTTTCCATGGAACTGATGTGGCCAGCTTTGTGACTATAAGACAATTACAAAAGATAATTACTAGTTACAATTTAAAAGCTCATTGGTACTTCTGTTGTGGCAAAAGCACTAAGTTCTTCAAAGGAAATCAATCTGAAAAGTCTTTGACAGTATCTATTGCATATACACAATAGCTTGGGAAATTCTGGGAAAAGATTGTGAAAATACTTATGTGAAGTCAGGCAAGTAAAACATCAAAAATGTTAACAGAAAAAGAAACACTCCAAATTTACATTCTTCATTGTCACTGTGAAAGAGGTTAGAACAGATTCGGTGGCTGTTATTGATAGTAGGTCTTTGTAATTATTTTCAGGGACTTGACTGTCTTGTAATACTGACTTAAACCGAAAGCCAATTAAAAAGTTATCTATAAAATTTTAAAGACATGGGCTTTTGCCATCAGGATGAAAATGTTCATATTCTTAAACAAACGTCTTATAAGATAAGAACATATTACTGATTATTCTTGAAACTAGTCTAACCTGTTTTCTGAAGTTGCTATGCTATTGTTTTAAATTAAAACCTTTATTTGAACTATACATAATTTTTACTATAATTTTAGACTACATGCTATACTCACTTCGGACTTACAGTTCTTTTCAAATAAACTTCAGGTTTAGATAATTTTACTCATAATATGTTAAAAGCTTAATAACATGTGGTAATCTCAATGTGGTAAAACTCAGATACATAGAAAGGTGGCAGCCAAAGCGATGATAACAGTACTTCCCTGTGTACTGTTCCACCTGCATTCCTTCTGAGATGGGCATTCCCAGCCCATGCACAGCTCTGGGGTGGTTCCTAAACAGTGTCACCCCTAAGAGTATGTTCTCACTTGTGTTTCCCTTTGTATCCTATAAACAGAGCTGTTACTGCAGGTAAACAGTAAACTACACCAAATAATTTTCCTGTTAGGCTATTCTCCATCTGGGTTAGCCCATTAGGCAACTACACACACGAGTTTGTTGGTACTATGAACATAATACAGTGCTCTGATGTGAGTTAACAGCAGTGTCTCTAAATGAGAAACTGAAGCCTGAAACATAATTTTCTATAACTGAACGAGACACTTATTCTGGTCTAGAAATATACCCATGTGTTTAACAGGCAAAGTGAATAATAACCAAAGCAGATTTCTCAGCAAGCAAAAGCTAATTATGACCTCAACTGAAACTGTCCAGAGCACTTGGGCAACACCCTGACAGGAGTAAA